TCAGTAACTAAAAATCCTCCTGGACACAACGCCATCTATTTGGTAAAGACTTACACTATCTTATCTATTCCCCACAGAAAACCATGCAAGGCAGATGTGTTTTTGTCTCAAGGAATTGACAGGAAAATAGAGGCCCTCAGTACTTGACGCACGTTCAACAGTCATACTTCCAGTAACAGCTGGAGGCAACAGTCAGGCTGTGGTTTGTGAGAACCCCAGGTCAAGTCCACTCAGACTTGGTAGCCTCACAATGAAGAGATCCTCTCCAATTCCTGAGTAAGACTGGCCATATAAGTTAGCTAATCATTCTAGAAATCTCTATGGCAAGCCTCCAATCTTGTCTCTGAATGTGTTCCCAGAGCAAGAAAATTGCTAGACGTAGACTACCCATTCCCCATAACTGTGTGATACCCTCTCCCCCAGATCTTCTTGATACTGGTGTGTAGAGTCCTGTGGTATAAGAGTAGACCTGGGTCTCTTGCCAGGGTGTGACCCTGCCACGGGCATTTTTACCATATTAGGGCACCTAGGAAAGTAGGCAGTTCCTACTAAGAAACATGCAGCAGTCAAACCAACAGATCTTAAAAAGTTATACACATAGACTCCTACATGATACCTTCCTGCAGCTCTTACTGTCACAAGGAGATAAACACTTTAAAAGTATGCAAAGGAAAGGGAAAATATGCAGCACAAATTTGCATAGCATATGCACAGAGGTGTTCATTAGAGGGCATGTTTCTCGGGCTAATTGTATTATTAAATAAGCACATTGGAATCTGCATCCAGAATTCAGTTGACTAATTAGGAGCATGGCTGGGGACTTTTCTTACTCTCCCACTGTCTGTGATTTTTATCGGAAATCATCAATTTCAAAATAGGTCTCCCTAGGGAGGAAGAGGGAGTATTGTGACTGTTCTAAGGCCCAAATGTATAATGGAAAATTAATTTTAGATCTTGAGGTAGGGTTTTCATTCTACCCAAGACAATATTGTAGAAGGAAATCTGTGTGATGAAAGGAACAGGCAATGAATATACCTAATCAACAGCTGACTGTTGTATCATGAATGTCACCCACATTGAATGACTGTTTATTATAAATCTCAGCACAATATCAGGGATTGATAACAGAAAGGACATCCTGACATAAGGCAATTCATCTAAGACTAGTAGAGATCGATAGACAATAAGCTTTGACAGAAAAGAAAATGACAGACAGTGCCCATAAATTGTGGCCAATATTTCGCCAACTGCCAGGGGAATAATAGACCTAGACCACTTATTGATTCTGACCTCCCCCAAAACTCCCAGAAAAACAAACAAATAGTAGGGACAAAGCTCCACAAAAGAACAGACATACTAAGCCCGTAATAGACATGAGGGAGAAAACTGAAGACAATCACAGTTTTCATTTTTATCCAGAAATAGTAGAAATATCTCAATCAGGCCTGAGAATCAAAAGCTTATGTATCACCTGGAAATCAGTGAAATGTGGGGAGTTATGGAGCCCAAGGGTCCAGGCATATTAAACGCCGAAGTCTATTCTATCCATCTATCTGAACCACATAACTCAACACAATACTTATACTTTATTCTCTCTCCCACGACATGGTAGGATTTTGTAGGCCATGCCTATATCTTATAAGGTATATATGTGGGTGTGGGGGGAAGAGGATGGACTGGGGCTTAAACTCAGGGCCGCTCATACTCACATGGCTTTTTTACTCAAGGCTTGTTGCTCTACCACTTGAATCACAATTCTACTTCCAGCTTTTTGGTGATTAATTGGAGACAAGAGTCTCAGGGCCTTTCTAGTCTAGGCCACTACAAACTGTGATCCTTAAGCCAGGTGCTGGTGGCCTATAATCCCAGCTACTCAGGAGGCTGAGATCTGAGGTTCGAGGTTTGAAGCCAGCCGAGGCAGGCAAGTCTGTGAGACTCAGAAAAAGCCGTAAGTACACTGCGACTCAAGTGGTAGAGTGCTAGCCTTGAGCAAAAGGAGCCCAGGAACAGCACCCAGGGCCAGAGTTCAAGTCCCAGGACTGCATAAACAACCAACCAAACAACAACAACAACAAAAAATCCTGCAATCCTCAGAGCTCAGTCTCCTGGGTAGTCAAGATTACAGGCATAAGCCAACAGCACCCATCAATATATTCTATTTTTTAAAATATGCCCTTTAGTCATGTGAGTTACAAACATTATTGTGATCACTGACTCTGACTTTGAGCCCTAGCACCACCAATAAACGTGTGTGTGTCTGTGTCTGTGTGTGTATGTGTGTCTGTGTGTGTATTAAACAGGGAGGCATTTCAATTTCTTTTTTTTTGGGGGGGGGGTCCGGTCATGGGACCTGAACTCTGGGCCTGGGTGCTGTCCCTCAGCTCTTCAGCTCAAGGCTAGTGCTCTACCACTTGAGCCACAGCACCATTCCGGCTTTTTTCTTTTTGCTTATGTGGTGCTGAGGAATTGAACCCAGGGCCTCAGGCATGCAAGGCAAGCGCTCTACCACTGAGCCACCTTCCCAGCCCCAGGCACTTCAATTTCAAGTAGAGAAAAGTGCTATGTGGAGAATGCACTACAGAAGGAAAGAACTGACGTGGATTCAAATAGGGACTGGTCAGGATCAGACATACCAATGGCCAGACTTCTAGCCTTACAAGGTCCTATTTAGCAAATCCTATCTGGAAGATAAATGTTTCCAGAACCCCCCAAGTGGTCTGCCAACATGGTAACCTCTCCTCACTGGACTCTCCTACAGGTGGGCAAAACTCTGTGCTCAAAGGAAGGGCACACATGCCATGTCTTTCATGTTACCACACCATCCCTTTCCATACCCTTTGTTGCCAGTCCTGGGCTTGAACTCAGGGCCTGGGTGAAGTCCTTGAGCTTTTTCTCAAGGCTAGAATTCTACCAGTTGAGCCACAGCTTCACTTCCAGCGTTTTTGGTGGTTAATTGGAAGGAAGCCTGACCAGACTGGCTTCCAACTGCGATTCTCAGGTCTCAGCCTTCCCAGTAGCTAGGATTACTAAGTGTGAGCCACAAGCCTCAGCCCTTTCATGTTTTTCACATTCTTCCCACACAATACTCAAGATCTCACCTTTAATACAAATGGACAGTAGTGAACTTAGACCTATTTCAGACTCTAGGCTGTCTTATCAGTGTCTTTGGTAGACCTGGACTCCAGATTTGTTAACAACAATATAGTTCACCTGGTTCCCTCCCCTTGCTCAGGGCTTGTGAAATTCCACCATGTAAATTCTTGATGCTGCCACTATCAGCTTGCATCTCTCCTGAAAAACTCTTTTTAAATAATAACAAGAATAGGCTAATAGGAAATACCAGCTAGAGATTGCTAAATTTTCCAGAGATTTCACAGAAATGCATACCGGCATGTCAATAGTTTCTACCTAAATCCTTTCCCAAGAACTCCTGCCATCTGAAGCTTTCAGGCCTCACTTCCAGCTACTATCTCTGAGGTCCAGTGGGATGGGGGCTTCAGGTTACAGCCTCCTCCCTCTTACCCCCCCTTCTGCCCAGGGACAGGGAAAAGCCCAACACCACCATCCACCATCCACTTGTGGTCCCTGATCGTATGGGAGAAGCGCAAGTTTGGACCAAAAAAAGCTGCCTACATGAGGTGTGTCCCACAGTGCCCCGTGCACAAGCACCCGCTCTTCGGCAGAAACCAAGCTCATATTTTGCTGGTATGTGCAGTGGGATCCCCAATTCCTGTGGCTTCAGAACACTGAGCTAAAAATACCATGTGTGCTGGCACATGGCCCAGACTCTGGAGTGTGAAGAAGACTAAAGGAGAAGTCAGAAGAGGGGGTGTTTTCTGAGAGAAACAGACACAGCGGTGAGAAGCAGTGGCCATGCGCTGACGGGGACGGGGCGGGGTGGAAGCATCAGAAGGAACAGTCATTGCAGGAAGAAGGAAGCAGCCAGGGTCTCTGCCATAACAGTTCTTTGGGGAGAAGAAACAAGCCTTCGCCTCTAAATTCTTTCTGAATCCTCACTCTAGCTGACTACTTGTTTTCCCATGGAGTTCACTCTATAAATCCTTAGATGCTTCTTACATGTGCATGATGCTGCGTTTCCTTTTTCTAAATTGACATGTAACTTTCCCTATTTATGGGGCATCTGCTAATGGGGCATGGTGACATCAGGGAACGTAGCAAGCCATCTCCTTGACTGTTATCCTTTCTTTGTGGTGGAAATTTTGAATTCTTCTCTTCCAGTTCTTCGTTAAATATATGAAAAACTGTTGTAAAGTATAGTCACCCCATATTACTGGAGAACACTTGTTAGGCTCCAGTGAGCATGATTCTATTTTCTACTTTGGTGAGATCAACTTTTTTAAAAATCCCATATATAACTAAGAACATGCAGTGCTTATCTGTGACTGGCTCATTTTATTTAATTTATTCCACTCAGGTTGCTGCAAATAACAGAATAACATTCTTTTATGCCTCAATAATATTCGTGTGTATGTGTGTATGTGTGTGTGTTAGTGCCACTTTTCATTATCCATACATCGGCTGATAGACACATAAGTTGATAGCATTGGCTACCTATTGTGAAAACACAATCTGATATCTCCTTGATAGCTCCTTGATACACTAATTTATAGCCTTTGGATAGTCACCAGTAGATTAGCTGGATCATACAATAGTTCTGTTTTAGGAATTTTATTGTTGCTGTTTGTTTTGGCAGTAAAAGAAAAGGGAAAGGAAAGGAAGAGAAGATGTAAGAAAAGAAAGCAACAGAGAAAGAAAAATGAGACTTTTATAAATCTAGAATAAAAGATGGAAGCATCACTATACACAGATGGCAGGGTCTTCTTAGTCCTGAAAATGCCAAGAGAACCAACCGAAAACCTATTTGAAAATAATAGGGATGTATGGAATTTATTTAACACATTTACTCCACAAAGTGAAATTCAGAGAAAAATAAGAAAACAATGTCAACAACTGGAAGCTGGTACCCTTTGAAACCTCACCTTGGCAATGTAATTGGGGGGCCTCCCACGTGCCCAGGGCTGTGCAGCTTGAAACTGTATATTCTGGGACACTGAAAAATCCTTCTTTGCATCCATAATGAACCTGGCTGCCCAGTCTAGATGTGTAGTTTCCTATGACAAAGCCACCCGGGATCTCCAGGGCCGGGCCACAGTCTATTTCTGAAAATAAATGCATGTTGAATTCATTACTCCATGAGGATAAATGTTCAAAGTTCACAATCTCTCCCTACCTCTAACCCATTTCCCTTGCATACCTCAAATCCTATTTTATATATATTTAAGTTAATTATGTGATTTCTACTCACATTGCCTATGATTATCTTTATGTGGTCTTTTGCACTTTCATAGATAATAGCATGCAGGAAACAAAAAAAATAAAACAGACTTCTTCATGTACGTCTTTTGTCTTTTATCATGTAAATTAAAGTGAAATCTCTGCTGGGCTGTGATGTGAAAATGTATTTGATGTAATTAGAAAGTATGTATATTGCAACAAGTCTGGGATTTATTTATTTTTAATCCTAGGATGTATTATTAGGATATTTTCAAATAAAAACTATCTCAAGCCGGGCACTAGTGGCTCATGCCTATTTTCTTAGCTACTCAAGAGGCTGAGATCTGAGGATAGCAGTTCAAAGTCAGCCAGGACAGGAAAAGCCCTGAGAATCTTTTTTTTTTTTTTTGGTCGGTCGTGGGGCTTGAACTCTGGGCCTGGGCGCTGTCCCTCAGCTCTTCAGCTCAAGGCGAGGTCTCTACCAGCTAACCCTGAGAATCTTATCTCCAATTAACCACCAGAAAATCAGAAAGGGTGCTGTGGCTCAACATGGTAGAGTGAAGAAAAAAAGCTCAGGAACAGCACCCAGGCTCTGAGTTCAAGCCCTACAACTGACAAAAGAAAAAAAAAATCTCAATTAACAACAACAAGAAAAAGATCTTGTTGCCGGGCGCTGGTGGCTCACGCCTGTAATCCTAGCTACTCAGGAGGCTGAGATCTGAGGATCGCGGTTCAAAGCCAGCCCGGGCAGGAAAGACCGTGAGACTCCTATCTCCAATAAACCACCAGAAAACCGGAAGTGGCGCTGTAGTTCAAGAGGTAGAGCGCTCGCCTTGAGCTGAAGAGCTGAGGGACAGCGCCCAGGCCCAGAGTTCAAGCCCCACGACCGACAAAAAAAAAAAAAAAAAGAAAAAGATCTTCACTAATTCATACTAACTATATACACTTTTAGTTTAAAAAAGTAAAAGTTTGAACTGCAAAATACATTGAGATACATGGGGATTTATAGATTTCAGGGGCATTTTGGGGATGTTCAATTCTTACCAATCAGCTGTGTGAATCAGCTAATATAGTGGCCCAAACCAAGATATCTATTAACCACTGGAGTTTATTGATCCCTGACATTTGCTAATTTTCACTTGTTAACATGACCCCCTTCTATCTTCATTAGGCCATTGTTTGTTTCATACAAAGATAATCACCACTCTCATCCCCAGCACAGAACTCTAGACATCAGTGTGGAAAAGTCCCCTGCACAGAATCTCACCACAAGAAGCCACAGTCATAGGCCAGCACCCACCTGTACACCGGGTACCATCTCTGCTCGGGTGGAAAGGCACAGGTCCATTTGTTGGCAAGTATCCATCGACACAGTAGCACTCGAAGTTTCCAGGAGTATTGACACACCGTCCTCCATTCCCGCACACACCAGACACCACACACTCATCTATGTCTGGAGACCAAAACAAAACAGAGACATGTTCTCACATTCTCAACGTACTCTTAGCCTTGAGTGCATTTGTTTGCAATGGTATCATGAATTTTATCTTACTCCCTGAAGGTTCTTTTTATATATCCTTCACATTATAGGCGTTGAACACATAGGCAGTGCCCAATAAATTCTTGTCAATATCTTCTGGGAATTTGTACAAGCCAAAACCAGATGAGTGCCGGTGACTCATACCTGCAATCCTACTATTCAGAAGGCTGAGATCTGGAGATCATGAGCCTATACAGAAAAAACATTGAGATTCTTCAATTAACAAGCAAAAAGCTGAAAGGAGAGCTGTGGCTCAAGTAGTACAGAGCTAGCCTCAAGTTAAAAACAAAAACAAGAGCTCAAGGCCCTGAGGTCAAGTCCCAGGACTGGCACCAACAAAAAACAAAATAAACAAATAAATAAAACCTCAGTGGTAGAGGGCTTGCCTACCATGCACAAGGCCCTGGAGTTGATTTCTCTCTCTCTCTCTCTCTCTCTCTCTCTCTCTGTCTCTCTCTCTGTCTCTCTCTCTCTCTCTCACACACACACACACACACACACACACAGACACATAATTAAATTACATAGTAATTTAAATTATGATAGTCACAACCTCAGAATATCTAAAATAGAACTACAACATAAAACAATTTAAACCAGAATGAAAAATTCTAAGGGGTTGGTGGGTACAGGATAGCTCAGCAGTAGAGTGCTTGCCTAGCATGCACAAGGACCAGGGTTCAATCTTGAGCACCAACCCCCCCACCAAAAAAAAAAAAAATACTAGGAACTGACAAACAGCTTTCCAGCTCAGGGGCTGGTTGTAAGAAGGTAATTAAGCCAAGCACTGGAGGCTCACACCTATAATTCAGGAGGCTGAAATCTGAGGATCCTGGTTCAAAGCCAGCCTAATCAGGAAAGTCTACGAGATTTCTTATCTCTGATTAACCAGCCAAACACCTGATTTGTGATTCAAGTGGTAGAGTACCAGCCTTGAGTGAAAAATCAAAAAAGAACAAGCCAAACAAGTGCATGGAAGCCCCAGTACTCACACAAAAACAAAAACACCCTCAGTCTAATACAAAGGACTTGGATCTCATAATCTCATTGATAAGAAGCCTACAGAAGAGCCAACCCCACCAGGAAAGAAAGTGGATGCAAAGCTGCTTAAACCAGAGAGAGGGGGAGAGGAAAGACACTCGGTATGGGGTCTTTTTCTTGGGGGATGAAAGCTCCTGAAAGCAGTACTGATGTTTGTAGAATTCTGTGAATATACACACACTAAATGTAGCACTGAAATGGGTACATTTTAGGGAATGTGAGTTACGCCTAAATGAAGCTGTTGTTTAAAGGGAGGAGCCTGGGGCTCAGTGATAGAGTGATTGCCAACATGAATAAGGACTGGGTTTGATTCTCAGCACCCACAAAAATATACATAAAGTGGGGACGGGAGGGAAAAACTGGGAGAGAGGGAGGGAAGAGGTGACATTGTCCAAAAAGAAATGTACTTAGGGGCTGGGAAGGTGGCTCAGTGGTAGAGTGCTTGCCTTGCATGCCTGAGGCCCTGGGTTCGATTCCTCAGCACCACATAAGAAAAAATCCAGAAGTGGGGCTGTGGCTCAAATGGTAGAGTGCTAGCCTTGAGCTGAAGAGCTGAGGGACAGCGCCCAGGCCCAGAGTTCAGGCCCCACAACCGGACCCCAAAAAAAAAAAAGAAATGTACTTAGTCCTGACTTATATAACTGTAATCCCTCTGTATATCACCTTCATACTAACTCTCTCTATATATATGTATATAGTTTATGGATATATATGTATATGTATATATGAGGAGAAATGAAAGGTATTCTGGATCTCTTTAAGAAAAAAACATCACCCTTCTGAGGAAAGGAATAGTAGCCCTGTCTGAAACACTACAACCCATACAGTACTGGAGTAATGCTTGTAGAGTTCTAAGAAAGGGGGAACAAAACATCATGCTTTTAAGGAAAGAAATGACATGTTAGGATACAAGTTTAAGAATTACACCACTGATAATTCTTTTCTGAAAAAAAAAAAACAACAGCCAGTAATATATGTATGTGTGTGCAGGAAACAAAGATACCACAAAACTAGGCACTGGTGGGCCAAACCTATAATCCTAGTTACTCAGGAGGCTGAGATATGAGAATTATAGTTCAAAGCCAGCTAAGGGAGGAAAGTCCATGAGACTCTTACCTCCAAAACCAGAAGTAGAGGTGTGGCTCAAATAGTAAAGTGCTAGCCTTGAGTGACAAAGCTCAGGGACAATGTCCAGGCCCTGAGTTCAGGCCCATACAGAACAAGGAGCTATAAAACCAATACAACAGAGCTAAACAGCTGTTGATAACATACCTCCAGAGTTTTAGGGAATTGTTATGAAAAGATTCTTAAAATATAAGCAACACAAAACAGAATGAATATCAGTCTGGCACAAATATTATAGATAACACTGGAGAAGTCTTTACCGATCGGAGGTTTGGCTCATCCTTCTACTTTAGTCAGATGTTGCTTTTTATTCAGTTGGAAACTTGTCCTCACTGTAGCTCCACTGTAAAGTTAATCAGCAAGTTTTCTGCATCTTTACACAATAAAGTTATTCAACAGAGCAGGACCAGGGATACAGTCTATCAATCTGCCCCCAAAATCTCAAAACAATACTGAGTAAGAAAATAATTAAGGACTTTTCTATGGGCTTCTAAAAATAAACAGTCCATGTATTTGGGGGAGGAGGGGAGGGAGGAAGTAAAACATGGCAGAGTGTGGAAAAGACTTGGGCCTCTGGCTAGTGGCCCAGTCATTAATCACATAGCTTTGTGGACAGTCACTCAGCATTCCCAGAGCAATCAGAGTCATAATCATAATGAACAGCAATAATTTCTGCATGTCATCATCTGCATGCCTGGTACTGTTCTAAACACTTCAGAATCTATTAAATATTATTTTCATCTCATTCAATCTTCACAATAACCCCAGGAGGTCCATATTATTATCACTCCCATTCTGAGGTACCTAAACCAGAGTGGCTAAGTAATTGGTCCAAAGGTAATTATACACACAGCTAAGAGCTGAAACTACAGGATTCAAAACTAGTATGTACCTTAACATCCATGTTCTTAACCACTATACCACTACATTTCAATTGTGTGAGCATGCCCACCAATGATTATGGCAAAATTGACAGGAAATGTGACCATCTTAGCTATTTCAAAGTGTGCAAATATGCCTTCTACATTTTGTCTTCCATTCTCTTAGGTAGATGCTCGTAAGGAGAATTGGGAGATCACATGGTCATTGTGTGTGTGTGTGTGTGTGTGTGTGTGTCTGTGTGTGTGTGTGTGTGTGCGCGCGCGCGCCTTCCTGGGGCTTGAACTCAGGGCCTAGGCTCGTCTCTGAGCATTTTTTTTCTTGTCTCAAGGCTAGTGCTCTACCACTTGAGCCACAGGTCCATTTCCAGCTTTTTGGTGGTTAACTGGAGGTAACAGTCTCACAGACTTTCCTGCCTGAACTGTCTTTGAACCATGATCCTCAGCCTCCTGAGTAGCTAGAATTACAGGTGTGAGCCACTGGTAGCCAGCCATTTCACTTTTATGCTTTGAGGAAACTATCATTCTGTTTCCATCATGGGTCTAACACATCATCTTCTACCAAGAGCAAACAAAGGCTCTGATTCCTCCACACCTCCAGACCTTGGTTAACACGCGTTACTTTATGGTTTGTTGACAACAGCTGGCCCAAGGGGTCTGGGGTACATGTCCCCAGCAGCCTGACGTTAGAGGGGTCCTCCTTGTCTCCCATTCTCTCTTTTTTTTGGGGGGGGGTCTGGTCATGGGGCTTGAACTGTGGGCCTGGGCGCTGTCCCTCAGCTCTTCAGCTCAAGGCTAGCGCTCTACCACTTGAGCCACAACGCCACTTCCGGCTTTTTTTTCTTTTTGCTTATGTGGTGCTGGGGAATCGAACCCAGGGCCTCAGGCATGCAAGGCAAGCGCTCTACCACTGAGCCACCTTCCCAGCCCTTGTCTCCCATTCTCTATGCAGGATTATTTCATTTTGATCACTGCTAGGAAACCTAACAAGACGCTCTGACTTGAACCCAGGACCCCACTCTTCCATATTTAGCCCTTCAAATTAATGTGAGTGTAGGAGTCAAACAGACTCAGGTTAACCAACTGACATCACTAACTGCACTTAATCCTGAATCTAAACCTCTGATGTAAAAGAAAGTGTTTTTGTGGGGATTAAATAAGACACGGGTGGAAAGTACTTAGCCAAGTATATGAAGCCAATATAATTGCGGATAATAAGGCCCCAGTAAAGACTAGCTATTACTTGGATGAATCCTGTCTACAGACTCAATTCTTCCTGACTCATAGTGGCTCATACATATTTCTTCCTTACTTAGCATGAACAGTGCAATGTGTGTGCAGTACACAAATGTACACATGTGCGCACACACACACACATTTAGATGCTATTTGGCTGAACTATTGGATTTGAATGCTACAAAACGCTTTTTTTTTTTTAAGTCTGTCATGGGGCTTGAACTCTGGGCCTGAGCACTGTCCCTCAGCTCTTCAGCTCAAGGCAAGTGCTCTACCATTTGAGCCACAGCGCCACTTCCAGTTTTCTGGTGGTTTATTGGAGATAGAGTTTCACAGCTTTTCCTGCCCGGGCTGGCTTTGAACCCAGATCCTCAGATCTTAGCCTCCTGAGTAGCCTGGATTACAGGCGTGAGCTACCGGTGCCCAGCATAAAAGGCATTTTTTTCCTGGTCATGGGGCTTGAACTCAGGGCCTGAGCCCTATCCCTGAGCTTTACTGCTCACAGCTAGCGCTCTACCACTTGAGCCACAGCACATTTTCAGTTTGCTGGTAGTTTATTGGAGACAAGAGTCTCAGACTTTCCTGTCTGGGCTGGCTTATCCTTGAACTCCAATTCTCAGAACTCAACCCCTATGTAGCTAGGGTTACAGTTATGAGCCACCAGCACCTGGTGTAGCAACCATTTTTAAAACTTCTATCTCTATAAAATTAGTTTGACCTTAGCTGTGCACTGGTAGTTCACGCCTGTAAACCTAACTACTCAGGAGGCTGAGATCTGAAGATTGTGGTTCAAAGCCAGTCCAGGCAGAAAAGTCCATGAGACTCTTATCTCCAATAAACCACCAGAAAACCAGAAGTGGTGCTGTGGCTCAAGTGATAGAGTGCTGGCCTGGAGCTGAAGAGCTCAGGGGCAGTGCCCAAGCCCAGAGTTGCAGCCCCATGACTGACAAAAAAAAAAAAAAAATTAGTTTGGCCTGATGTTGTACAAATTAGATATTTAAGTATAAACATTTTGGGTGTTACTTTTTTCATTCAATATGTTTTCAAGATTTTGTCACATAATTGCCATTGTTCTTGACAATACTAGGATTTGAACTCAGGATCTCGTATTTGCTAGGCAGGTACTATACTCCTTGAGCCACTCAGCTACTTCTTTTTGCATTGGTTAACTCGCTCTCTCTTTCTCTTTCCCTCTCCCCCTGCCCCTCTTTCTCTGTGTGTGTGTGTGTGTGTGCTGGTCCTGGGACTTGAACTCAGGTCCTAAGCACTGTCCCTGAGCTTTTTTGCTCAAGGCTAGCACTCTAACACTTGAGCACAATTCCACTGCATTGGTCTTTTTTTTTTTTAATATAGTTGTACTTTATGCCTGAGCTGGCCTGCACTGTGATCCTGTTTGATACACAGCTTAATGACACATGCAAGCAATCGTGCTCAGGCATTATGCTTCTCTGTCTCTGGAATAACAGGTGCACGCTACCATGGCCAACCATTGGTTGAGATGGAATCTTATCTCCTAAACTTTTTGGCCCAGACTGGCCTTGAGCCATGATCCTCCAGATCCTACCTCCCAGGAAACTAGCATTGCAAGCTTGACCTACCATGCTTGGCCTACTTCCTCTGGATTTTTAAAATATTTTTATTGCTGAGTAGTACTCCACTATGTGAATGTATCATTTGTTTACTCATCCTCCTATTGATGGGTATCTGGGCTGTTTACACTTTCAGCTACGACAAACATTCAAGTATAAGTTTATGGAGATGAATTTTCATTTCTCTGGAGTTTATTTTTATGAACATAAAAGAATGAGCATGTGTGATGAGTGAAGTACATTTTGTCCCTCTTCATGCAGTGGTATGTTATAGAAGTGAAATACCATATAAATCACTAGTTTAATACAGGTGTCAGTCCAAAATTATGATTGTACTACACGTGAATAGAGGTTTCTTTTTGTATATGGGCTTGAACTCAGGGCCTGGGCGCTGTCCCTGAGCTCTTTTGCTCAAGGCTAGTGCTCTACCACTTTGACCCACAGCTCCACTTCTGGTTTTCTGGTAGTTAATAGGAGATAAGGGCCTCATGGACATTCCTGCCCGGGGTTGACTCTGAACCACAATCCTCAACTCTCAGCCTCCTGAGTAGTTAGGGTTACAGGTGTGAGCTACAGTGCCTGGCTCCTAGAACTTTTGAGACAGGGTCTCATATATAACTCAAGCTAGTCTTGAGTTCCAGATTATCAAACTTGTAATCCTCCTGCCTCAGCCTCCGCAGGGCTAGGATTACATGTGAACACCACCACATTCAGCATTATAGTTATTCTGGTTTTGCAAGTGCTCTACCCACTGCAGCCATACCCCAGCCCCCCAGCATCATAGTTATTCTGAAGGAAGGTCCCTGTCCTAGGCCACAGGCTGTCCTGTCTCCCTCCACAGAGAAGACACTGTCAGCAGGTGGCCAGCACTACGCCCCCATTTGTATACCTGTGCAGAAGGTGCCATCGTTAGGGATGAACGTCTGGTTGTTGTTTGTGGCCCGATAGCCTTCGAGGCAGATGCAGTAGAAGCCTCCCAGTGTGTTGTGGCAGGATGTGTGGTTCCCACAGACAACAGTGGCTCCAAACTGGCACTCATTTTTATCTGCAGATACAGAGACACATCACACAGAAAAGGATCCTCATCCACCCCATGTTCAAAAGCCCAGACTCCTCCCGTGCTGAGGACTCAGCATTATTTGTCATTTCCCTGGCCGAGAGTCTCTCCCCTCACACCGCTTCTCAGACTCAGGACCTTCAGTGATGCAACCAGTAGGAGTATACCAAGCGACAAAAGAAACACAATTTATCTATCTATCTATCTATCTATCTATCTATCTATCTATCTATCTATCTATCTATCTATCTATCTTTTTTCCTATCTACATACAAACATATTAAGAGCTGGAGACACAGTTCAGTGGTAAAGTATGTCCTTAGCAAGTGCAAGTTCTGGGTTTAATCCCCAGCACCAAAATCATCATCATCATTATCATCATCATCATCATCATCCTAACAACAATAACTATCTGGGCAAGGTAGTAAGCTCCTGCAATCTCAGCAGTCAGGAGGCTGAGGCAGGATGATCACAAGTTTCAGGCCAGCCTGGCCTACAAAATGAACCCTGTCTCAAAGCACTAGTAACAATGTTAAAAAATATATTTTATTTGATACACCTGGGGAAACAACCCAGCAGAATCCATTTTTTTCCAGTTCAGTCATTCTCTTGGTCTTTCATGAATGCCAGAGGAGAAGGATTTTATATCCAGTAATCAAACTATAAACGTTGTCCCTCATGAGCTCCCAGGAAACAATGGACTTATTGCAGATGCCTGAACCTGAGCAGCGCTAATGGTGAGGCAGGAACAGCTCATGCTAGCCCAGTGGAGAGGGCCTGAAATGTAGATGCTGAGGACGCCCTGAGTGGTCTTAATTAAACAGCATGAAATTGAAAGGGGCAAATAGAAGTCATTCTCTTTCCCATCTCTGTCCTCTTGCCCAGGGGCCAGCAAACTTTTTCTCATGGTCTCTGTTGCATTCACTCATGGTTGGAGAGTCCAAAGCAGTCATAAAAAGTAAGTAAACGAAGGAGCAGTGCTTGGTTCCAATAAAACTCTATTTACAACCACACGCAGTGGGTCGAGCATGGTTCATGGGCCATAGTGCGCCAGCTCTGCCCTAGAAAACTCCTAAGAGAGATTTTCTTACTCTTCCTTTTAGACTTGATCTACCCAACAATTGTTTCCCCCTCCCTCCCCTGGGATTTCGTTATTTTGCTTGTTATTTGATATTTTATTTTACCATGGCTCCCTCAAGTCAGTTTGTCTTCCACAATTATACTCAATTTCAGCAAACTCAAAAAACATCCCCAAGCCAGGCTCCAGAGGCTCAGAAGGCTGAGAACCTGATGATGAAAGTTCAAAGCCAGCCCAGGCTGACAAATCCAAGAGACTCTTATCTCCAATTAACCAACAAAAAGCTGGAAGTGGAGGTGTCTCAAGTGGCAGAGTGTAGCTTTGAGTTAAAAAGCTAAACAAAAGCACAAAGCCCTTAGTTCGAGCCTCAGGCCTTGCATACACACATACACACACACACACACACACACACACACACACACACACACACAATACCCTCCAAAAGTCTGTGTATTTTCCACACACATGCTTTTACTCACATTATCTTTTTTGGAGGGGACGTGCAAGTCCTAGGGCTTGAATGTGGGACCTGAGCACTGTTTCTGGGTTTTGTTGCTCGTAGCTACTGCTCTACCACTTGAGTCACGGTTCCACTTTTGCTTTTTTGTTGTTGTTGTTCTGGGGACTGGGTTGTTTGGGGTTTTTTTTGTATTTAATTGGATATAAGAGTCTCATGGACTTTCTTACTCAGGCTGGCTTCAAACTGTGATCCTCAGATCTCAGCCTCCTGAGTAGCTAGGATTACAGGTGGGAGCCACTGGCTTCCAGCCTCCATGAGATTCTTATCTCCGGTTAACTACCAAAATGCCAGAAGTAGGGCTGTGCCTCAAGTGGTAGAGCGCCAGCCTTGAGCTTCCCAGACCCTGAGGTCAAGCCCTAGTGCTGACACAAAATAATAATAATAATAGAATACATAATTAAGTAGAAACTACAAATGAAGCTCTAACAATTCATAGGTAAAAGTGGTAACCTTTGCCTGGAAGCTCAATGCCAGAACCCTTGGTCCATAGCTAGGTCAGGCCCACAGCTGGGTAGCAGAACACCACATGGTGCTTCCTGCCTACCCACAGCGACAAGGCCCAACTCTCAGTATTTTTCCTGTGGGTAACAAGGATGCTGAGAAGAGACTATGGTCACATTTCCTCACACAGCTGAGAAACTCATGCCCATTCTGAATGGAACTCAAATCCAGGTGTTATCTGACTGGCATGGATGAGTGTCGTGAGACCAAAAATCATCTCAGCTGCCTCTAGCCTAAGCCTTTGTGTTCCTTACGTCCGCTAGGTCTCCAAAGGTCACAACTACAACACTTCAGAGATGGATTTAATGAGACCTAAAGCTGAAAGCAAGCTCACTGTCTTCTCAATTAACTAAGAAGTCCAATTGTGGTTTGTCTCTATGATACTAATATAGTTTTACATCCAGATTTTTAAAAAGAAATTAATATCACTGGAGTTGTTAAGTTAAAACCCGAGACTTGAGATTTGTTACATCAGTGAGTTTCGAGACTCAGGGTCAATGATCTCCAATAGGCCTATTGCCTGGAAACACCAGAACAAGGACACAGCCAAACATGAAAACAAAGACTTATTATAACTGACAAACCTTTATGGAATAAAAACATGTGAACAAAATATTAATGTTTTCCCCACAAAGACATCCAATCTTTTATATAGGAGAGCTTTGTTTCCTGGTTGAACTGTCCCACGTAACCTTCAGTTCAAAGCTTACCAATACACTGGGTCCTCCCATTGCCCACAAATCCATAGTTGCAAATGCAGATCTTCTTGCCATCTTTTGACTGGCACGTAGCATGCTCGTGGCAAGTGGCACAGACATCTAAATATGAATCATAAATCACACGTGTTAAAAAAAATAGGCAAGTGCAAGATGAGGCACATTCAGTTAGTAGTAGACACTGACCATGAGAAGCAAAACTGGAATACCAAACTACAAGTCAAATCAGGTGTTAGTGGCTCACATCTATAATATTAGCTACACAAGAGGCTGAGATCTGAGGACTGCAGTTTTTAACCAACCTGGGCAGCATGAGATTCTTATTTCTAATTAGTCACCAAAGAGCTGGAAGCAGACATATGGCTCAAGTGGTAGAGTGCCAACCTTGAACAAAAAACCTGACTGACAATGTCCAGGTCCTGAATTCAATCCCAGTACCAGCACCAAAAAGAAAGGAAAAGAAAGAGGGGACAGGGGAGAGATGAGGATCACGGTTCAAAGGTAGCCCGGGCAGGAAAGTCTGTGAGTCTATTATCTCCAATAAACCACTAGAAAAACCAGAAGTGGTGCTGTGGCTCAAGCAGTAGAGCACTCGCCTTGAGCTGAAGAGCTGAGGCTATGATAGCGACGAAGCCCAGAGTTCAAGCCCCACCACCGACAAAAAAAAGCAAGCAAGCAAGCAAGAAAGAAAGAAAGAAAACACAAACAAGACCATACTAAGCTACCAACACAACTATGTTTATTGCAGCATTATTTACCATAGCTAAGATATGGAACTAACCCAGATGCCCCTCAGTAGATGAATGGATCAAGAAAATATGTTATATTTACACAATGGAATTCTAGGCCTCCATCAGAAAGAATGACATCACCCCATTTGTTAGGAAATGGAAAGAATTGGAAAAAATTAAATTAAGTGAAGTAAGCCAGGCCCAAAGAAACATAGGTCCCATAGTTGCCCTTATCTGCAATAACTAGTATATGTCTGGGACAAGCAGAAAAGGTCAGATAAGATGATGTTAAGCGAAATGAACCCCAAGATAAGGACACAAGTGGGTTTTTTTGGGTCCGCTCGTGGGGCCTGAACTCTGGGCCTAGGTGCTGTCCCTCAGCTCTTCAGCTCAAGGCTAGCGCTCTACCACTTGAGCCATAGCGCCACTTCCTGCTTTTTTCTTTTTGCTTATGTGGTGTTGAGGAATTGAACCCAGGGCCTCTGGCATGCAAGGCAAGCACTCTACCACTGAGCCACCTTCCCAGCCCCCCTCTTGTTATTGTTTCTAACATATTTATAAGGTACCACGTGATTTTTTTTGTTGCTTTGTATGTCCCTCCCCCACAGTATAACCCGTTTTCACTGTATTTGATGTTGGTATAATTTGGGGAGCGGAAGGGAAAAAGCAAATTGTTTAAATTGGGATACAGGTTGACCCAATGCAATAATGAGATGTACAAGATGCTATGTGAAAAAATAAACTTTACAATTTAGGTGTGGGAGGGCGTAGTTGTGGAGATGGGAGGGAAGGGATGGTAGGGGAAAAACAAAGGAGGAGGCAACAATGCTTGATAACAAATGTACTCATTACCTTGCTCATGTGATTATAACCCCTCTGTACAGTATTTTCACAATAAAAAACTTATTTAAAAAAAAAGAAAGGAAGGAAGAAAGAAAGAAAGAGAGAAAAAGAAAGAGGGAACCCAGGGGCCGGTGGCTTACTCCTGTAATCCTAGCTACTCAGGAGGCTGAGATCAGAGGATCGTGGTTCAAAGCCAGCCTGGACAGAAAAGTCTGTGAGACTCTTATCTCCAATAAAACCACCAGAAGAAAAAAAACTGGAAGTGGCACTGTGGCTCAAGTGTAGAGCACTAGCCTTGAGCTGAAGAGCTGAGGGACAGCACCCAGGCCCAGAGTTCAAGTCCCACAATGGACAAAAAAAGAAAGAAAGAAAGAAAAACAGAAAGACAGAGAGAAAGACAGAAAGACAGACAGACAGAAAGAAAGAAAGAAAGAAAGAAAGGAAGAAAGAAAGAAAGAAAGAAAGAAGGAAGAAAGGAAGGAAGAAAAAAAGAAAGAAAGAGAAAAAAAAGAGAAAAAAAGACATACACAGATTAGGTCAGATCTAATTTCATTCTTCCAGACTTCCAATGGCAACTCACTGTCCACAGAATACAGGAATATAGTACAGATCCCTTTATGTGTCAATCAACACACAACAGCCTGACTCCTGACCAACGCCTCCTGCCTCACTGCTCCCAAATCCCAACCACACAGTACTTGCCCTGTAGAAGAATATTTACTGTCATCCTTCCATGCTAAAACCATAATGCTCCCTTCATCTAGAATGTCCACAGTCCTTTCACTACCTGGCACCTACTCCTGTTTTAAGAGCCAGCCAACTTATCCCACTAACTCTATAGCCCATTCCTACATTGTTTTTTAAAACAACTAGTATTTGAACTCAGGCCCTCACACTTGCTAGGGAAGCACTCTACCATTTGAGCCATGCCTCTAGCCCTCTTAACTTAGGGTTTTTTCTTTTCTCAAATAGGGTCTAGCATTGTTTTACCCAGACAGCAATGCCCCTATTTCTGCCTCCCAAGTACCTGCAACGCCATGCTCAAATGGTAAGTGCATCTTCCTCTGTGCTCCCTTCATATTTGTGTGTTCCCCTACGAATCACATTCATTTTCAGTTACATAGATCCCAGCTCTATCTTCCTCAGCTTGGTATTATGAATGAGCCCCAAAGACAGGAATTATGGCATTTGCCTATCTGTTATTATAGCACAGTACAGACACTGTATTTTTACTGACTGATGGAATTTTTTTTTAATCTGGAAAGCAATGAGCTACAACTCAAAAAGCAAACAGAGAGAAGAGGCACACATTTGCCAATTACGCTATCCATTTCCCTTTAAAGGAAAAAGTGAATGTATTAAAGATGTCCAGGAGCAAACAGCCAAGTCATGGCAGGATGAACAGGCCCAATTTAATTGTTTAGGAAAACAGCAGAAATGTTTAAGACTACAACTCTTAAAACATCCAAATTGACCAGTTCCATGGCCTTAGATCAAATAAGAATTCCCACCCGAGGCTATGTGGGATATTGGATTTCATGCTCAGTGTCTCAGCAATTTCAGGAGTGGCTGAATAAAGAGAACGCTCCCGTATGGAATTTCATCCCAGTCTTGGCCCCATTATTATCCAGATAATAAAGCCCAGCCCTCTGGAAGCTCCACAGGAGAAAGTAACGGAGGCAGGGAGATTTCTAAATATTCCAAACCATACTTCTTGCTTTTGTTCTTGCTTTGTGATAAAAGATAACACAAGAAATGGAACAAACCACCAATCATCACTACATGATGCCAAATTAATGGAATATTTAGAAAATATATTTTAAACCATAAGAAACAATATAACAAATTTCAAAAAAATAAAAATTCTAGAGGCAATACTGTCTAACTACCACCAAAGCAAAACATCAGTCTAGTATCCTCTAATGAAACCTATTTTTAAAACAGTCTCCTAAATAATTTGGGGGACAAAGAAGATATAAAATTGAAATGAGACTGGTGTAGCAGATAACACCTATGATCCTAGCTACTTGGGAGGTAGAAATTGGAAGGATTGTGGATGAAGGCCAACTTAGAGAAAAAGTTCAGAAGATCTCATCTCAACCAATAAAAGCTAGCATGGTGGTATAACCCTGTCACCCAATCGATAGAAGCATAAATTGGAGGGTTTATGTCAAGGCCAGCCTGGACACTTTAGCTGCCGGGCACTGGTGGCTCACACCTGTAATCCTACCGACTCAGGAGGCTGAGATCTGAGGATTGTGGTTCAAAACCAGCCCAAGCAGGAAAGGCCATGAGACTCTTATCTCCAAGCAACCACCAGAAAACTGGAAGTGATACTGTGGCTCAAAGTGGTAGAACATTATTCTGAAGCAGAAAAGCTCAGGGACAGCACCCAGGCCCTAAGTTCAAGGCCCACAACCTCAAAAAAAAAAGGGGGGGGGGATTAAGGGATACCTGCCTAGTAAACACAAAGCCCAGTTCAAAATCCAGAATTGCAAAAAAAGAAAAAAAAACTGAAACATTTAATACCAAATATATGATCACATACTACAGAAAATTTGAATTTAATATGGTTTGTTTTTTAGAGAAAAAAACATAGGTAGCCACTTATATAATCTCAATATAAGAAACTTGGAATGAAAGGAAATAAGAAATGCTGGAAGGAGGGTAATAGAATTAGAAAAGGCTTTTTAAGCTATTAAAAAATTCGAAATTATAGTCAAAGACCTTTAAAAGAAACTTCCCCCAAATCAATTCATTATAAAGACCAACAGTGTCGTCAAAACTCAAGTAAGTTTGGCAAAGGAAACAGCAAGAGCATACACAAGCACACAAAACTAGAAAGAAAAAGGGCTTACAACAAAATATATATCAGGAATATTGCCTTTAACTACAAAGGAAAAGACTTCCAGTCAAACTCCACAGATTTCTTTCCACCCCCCAAAATAGGAGAGCAGGACACATAAAGGACTAGAGAAGTCTAAAAGACTATAAATGCGGGGCTGGGAAGGTGGCTCAGTGATAGAGCACTTGCCTTGCATGCCTGAGGCCCGAGGTTCGATTCCTCAGCACACATAAGCAAAAAAGAAAAAAGCCGGAAATGGCGCTGTGGCTCAAGTGGTAGAGTGTTAGCCTTGAGCTGAAGAGCTGAGGGACAGCGCCCAGGCCCAGAGTTCAGGCCCCACGACCGGACCCAAAAAAAACAACAACAAAAAAAGACTATAAATGCATTAACTCCTGGAACAGAAATGGGAATAGACAAAGAATGTCAACAACATTTCAGAAAATAGAAGAGACACTGACACGTGGTGATCACCTGTGCAGAGAGAAAGAACTAGAATCGCTGACTCCTTGTCATAAATGACAGAAATGAAATTTCAATGACCTGGTTCAACAGATCTGGTTCTTGTTTATGGCTTTCTAATTTTATTTATTTTTTGTTGGTCATAGGGCTTGAACTCAAGGCCTGGGCACTGTCCTTGAGCCCTTTCACTCAAGGCTAGCAATCTATCACAATGAGCCACAGCC